TGTTTTGATACTTGGAAAATGACACGTTCCCCCCAGTTTCCCTGGAAGGATTAAATTTCCCATAAAAAGAAATTCCTTTCAGTGGAAACAAGGAGAGGCCACCTGACACAAAGTGTGCCTTGAAGAAGCAGGAGTTCTGGAGGATGGGTTCTGGGAGAGCTGGACACTGGGAGGGGTGGACACTGGAGTGTGGGTGCCAGAGGGGTGGACACTGAAGGGTGGTGCAGTACCTGGCTTCTGTAAGAGGGTTTGCTAGGTCATTGGAAGAGATGAAAAGTTGAGCGTCTATGTGGAAAGTGCTGGGGCAGCACCTTCCCACCGTAAGGACTTGGTAATGTTGTCACCCCACCCCCTAGGCTAGAGAAGGAGATCGAGGTGCTGGAGAATGGAGACGTGGTCCCAGTGACCAAGGAGAAGACAGCCCAGAGTCCGGGCCGGGCCCAAGCCCCCAACCTAGCCCAGGAGAAGGAGGTGGAGAATTCCCAGCAGGTGAGGCCCTGGGCAGGGTGAAAAGGCCGAGTCAGGTGCTGGTCCAGGTGGGACAGGGCGAGAAGGGAGAGCTGACCTAGGGGTGGGGTGAAAAGGTTGGGGGGAAGGAGGGGGCTGACTTGGGCATGGGGACCAGGTGGGGTGGGGTGAGAAAGGGAGGAGGGGGAAGGGAGGGGGCTGACTTGAGTGTGGGGGGTGGGATGCTTGTCTAGGTGTGTGTGTGTGTGTGTGTGTGTGTGTGAGAGTGAAGGTGGGGGCGGGCGGCTGACCTAGGGGTTTGGAGAGAAGGTGGGGTGGGGGTGGGTGGGATCCTGGTCCAGGCGGGACCAGTGGTGTCACTGCCTGTGACAGCAGAGAGGGAGGGGAAGGACAGGATGGGGGAGGCAGAACTAACCAGGCTTCTGCCCCCAAGACCCCTCCTGTGCCCTGTGAGTGGGGACCTGCTCAGCAGGAGAAAGACCCCCAGGCCACTGACCTCTGTCCTTTCTTGCAGACCCCGGTGGCCACACCCAAAGGTAAGTCCGGGGGATGGGCGCCCTCTGGTGGTTAAAGACTAGTGGCCAGTTGTCAGGAACCTTCTAGCTGGGCATCGTCAGGGTCAGCACGGGAGGGGAATCCTCGTGAGGCTCCCCTGTAACCGTAGGCTCGAGTGTGTTGGAGATGATGAGATGTGCAGGGTAGGGCAGGGTTTGGAGCTGTTGACCGGTGGCTGTCATTGGCTCCCCAGCTGCACTGCCACCAGGGCCACTGAAGGCCACACACGTCCACTCAGCCTCACATGCCAGAGCACGTCCATCCACATACCCGCGGACAGTCTTCCTCTCTCTTTGCTGGCCTTGCCAAACATGGTGTTCTTTTCTGAGAACCAGTGCCTAGTTCGTGCCCACATCATGGAAGATGCAGCCACCGTCATTTAAGGAACCTCCAGCTGCATTTCTTCCAGGACAGATTTGCTCGGTCTCCTGGCAGTCCATGGTACATTCCATATTATCCAACAACACGATGATTCAAGGCCATCAGTTCTTCAGCCTCCCTTAGTCGTGGCTGGAAAGATCCCACCTGACTTCTCCAAGTGACATTTCCTTCCGACACATTCAGCCTGTCTTTTAGCAGATTTCCCCAGTGCAGCGCATCACTTCATTCCTTTCCTGCTGTTCCATGGTGTTGGTTGAGGATCCAAGTGAAATGAAACCCTTGGCAGCTTCAGCCTTGCCGCCATCTGTCATGTGATGCTGACTCGTCCAGTGGCGGATTTTTGTTTTCTTGATGGTGAGGTGTTAGCCATATTGAAGGCTTTACTCTGGTCTATTTCAGTAAGAGCTTCAAATCTACTTTATTTTCAACCAGCAAAGTTGTGTCGTCAGCATAACATAGATTGGTAATGAGCCTCTCTCCAATTCTGATGCCATGTTCTTCATCATAGTGCCCAGCTTCTGAGACTGCTGAGCAGCAAACTGAGTACATATGGAGAAAGTGGATGGCCCACAGATTCACATTTCCTGGTTTAAACCATGCAGTGTCCTCTTGTTCTATTCAAACTCTCCTTGTTCTGTTCAAACAGCAGCCTCCTGATCTATGTACAGGTTCCCCTTGAGCACAATCAAGTGTTCTGAAATTGTCATTTTTTTGTAGTGTTGCCCGTGGTTTTTTATAGTCAGCACAGTTGAGTGCCTTTATATAACCACACAGGGACATGTCCTGGCCAGCCTTCCCCTGGCATCACTTTGCTGACCTTCACTCCGGGTCCTCTTCAGAATCTGCCTGCCTTTCTTACAGTTCTCAGCTGGTGTGCAGCTGCTCTGTTTGAGCGTGTGAGCAGCGTCCTTGGCACCAGCAGTCAGGATGTCAAAAGGCACGCTGCCCTGGAGAAGTCGGCTGTGAGGGACCTCTCCCAGCTGCTGAGAGCAATCATGTCATTCCAAAGACTAAGGTGCACCTAATGCAAGCCAGGGTCTTTTCAATTACTTGCTGTGCATCTGAAAGTTGGACAGTGAATAAGGATGACAGAAGAATCGATGCCTTTGAGCTGTGGTGTTGGAGAAGAATGCTGAAGATCCCATGGACAGCCAATGGAACAGACAGCTATGTCTTGGAGAGGGTGTGGTCAGAGTGCTCCTTGGAGGTAAAGATAAAGCTTCATCTCATATGTTGTTGTTGTTGTGTGCCATCGAGTAGTTTGCGACTCATAGCGACCCTATGTACAAGAGCTCTAAACGTCATTCTATCCTGTGCCAACCTAGCCATCTCAAATGCACTTATTCCCACCACTCCAGTCACAGAACTGATCCATCTCATCGAAGGTCTTCCTGTCCTGCGCCGTCCCTCCACTCTGCCAAACATGATGTCCCTCTCCAAGGACCAGTCCCTCCTTGCAACATGCCCAAAGTATGTCAGACGAAGCTTCAGAGTCCTTGACTCCAAGGAGCATTCCGGCTTCACCCTCTCCAGGACAAACCTGTGTGTTCTCCTAGCAGTCCATGGTATATTCAACAGTCTTTTCCAGTACCACAGCTCAAAGGCATCACTTCTCTTTCTATCAACCCTATTCATTGTCCAACTTTCTGATGCATAGCACCGTAATTGCGAAGACTATAGCCCAGATCAGGTGCACCTTAGTCTCTAGCCTGACGTCGTTGCTCTTCAGTACTCTTGAGAGGTCCCTCACAGCTGATTTTCCCCAATGCAATTCGTCTCTTGATTTCCTGGCTGCCGTTACCAAGAGTGTTGATTGTGGAGCCAAGCAAACTGTTAACTATTTCAATCTCTTCACCATCCATACTGATGCTGCCAATTGGCCCATTGGTGTGAATCTTTGTTTTCTTGATGTTGAGCTTCAATCCATATAGGAGGCTGCAGTCCTTGACCTTCTGCAGCAAGTGCTTCAGGTCCTCCTCAGTTTCAGCAAGCAGGGTTGTGTTATCTGCATGATCCAGGAATTATCAAGAGAAGATGGAAGAAATACACGGTCACTGTATCAGAAGGAACTGGCTGACACAGAATTTCATGAAATGACATGAGCAAGAGCCGATGGTGATGAAGGAGGAAAGAAGTTCTAATTGCTCTGAAGAAATTGGCAAAAAACAAGGCTCTAAGAGTTGACAGCATACCAATTGACATATTTCAACAGACAGATACTGCCCTGGATGTGCTAAGTTGTGCCAAGAAATCTGGAGAACAGCCAGATGGCCCACTGACTGGAAAAGATCGATATTTATTCCCATTCCAAAGAAAGGTGACCCAACAGAGTGTGGAAATTATAGAACAATATCATTAATATCACATGCAAGCAAGATTCTGCTCAAAATTATCCAATAACGTTTGGAACAATATGTCAACAGAGAACTGCTGGAAGTACAGGCTGTGGTACTAGGGATGTTATAGCTAATGTTGGTTGGATCTTGGCAGAAAGCAAAGAATACCAGAAGAATGTCTATCTGTGCTTCATTGACTATGCAAAGGCTTTTGACTGTGTGGACCACAGCAAGTTGTGGCTGACTCTGAGAAGAATGGGAATCCCAGAACGTTTGATTGTGCTAATGTAAAACCTATACCTGGACCAAGAGGCACTTAGAACAGAGCAAGGAGACACTACATGGTTCAAAATCAAGAAGGGGGTCTGTCAAGGATGTATTCTGTCTCCATACCTTTTCAATCTGTATGCGAAACAGATCATCCGAGATGCTGGGCTGTATGAAAAGGAATGTGTCATCAGGATTGGTGGAAGAGTCATCATCTCATATACTTTGGACATATTATCACAATGGGGAAGTCCTTGGAAAAAGACATCATACTTGGAAGAGTGGAGGTAGAAGAAAGATGGGAAGACCCTCAAGGAGATGGATTGACGCAGTGACTGTATCAGGGGTCCAGGTACATCTGAGATTATGAGGATGGTGCAGGATAGGACAGGGTTCAGATCTGCTGTTCCTAGGGTCACAGGTCACAGCTGACTCAACAGCACCTAAAAATAACAAGTGCACTTCCTTTTTAATTATCTCTAGCAAAATTTTACTTGCACGTGATATTCATGACATTGTTAAACATTTTTCATCATCCGTTGCATCGCTGGCTTTGGAATGAACACAGGTGTGGGGCTCTTCCAGTCTGCTGGCCAGACTGCTTGCAAATTTCCTGGCATAAATGAGCAAGTGCTTCCAATTTCATCTATTTATTGACATATTTCAATTAACATTCTGTCAATTCTTGGAGCCTTGGTTTTTGCCAGTGCCTTCAGCCCTGCTTGGACTCCTTCCTGCAGCACCTGCAGTACTTGTAGGCTGCTTCCCGAGGCGACTGGCCAGGGACCAGCCAGTCCTTTCTGGCATACTGCCTCTGCAGCTGTGGCATGCTCCCTGCAGACTTGCCCGTAGGATCTTACAGGTTGCAGCTTGAGGCTTTCCCCCTTCAGTTCTTCCCGGTTGAGAAGCTCTCCCCTGTGCGGGTTCTGACTCCAGCCCTGTGACATTTCCCTGGACCACTGCTTTGTCATTCGCAGCCACCCTGAAGCCTCCAAGGTCAGCACTTCGGCGCCAGCGACTCTTTCATTGCAGGGGCTCTGCACTCAAGTTCCAGAGTCTCTTGTGACATCCATTTTGGTCTTTCTTTCTTTACTGCCCCTTCAATGTTCCGTTGAGGGTCATGTATGAGTAATTCCAACTCGACGGTGATGATTGAATGAGTTTGCTCTCTTTGCGTGTGAGGTCCCTTACGCCATTGCCTAACTTTCTGGTCTTGGGCACCAGAGCTCAATGGATCAAATCTGTTCTCGAGGCACCCTCTAAATTCACGTGAGGGACACCCAGGCTTGTATGTTGGCTCCTGTAGGCTTCTTTTCATTTTCTTCCTCGCTGATTTCCTGTCAGCCCTGGCATTGTTCTGATTGAAGACTCTGTGCTTCTCCACTCTTTCCACACGTGTGGTTTATCTACAACAAACAGGCCTGAGATAAAGCCCTGTCCAAATGCCTGACGCCCACCTTTCAGATGTAAACCATCAGCTTGGATGCCAGCCAAGACTCTTCACCTTCTCCCTAACACATGATGAGTGTCAGCCTAGGAACAACGCAAACATGCTTTCCTGCTGTCACTGATGAAACAATTCTCAGGGTCACCGTTTGAAGTGTCGTCTCATTCTACGTTCCGCAGAGCAGGGGCACGCATGTGCATGACCACGGAGGCCGCTTGGAGCTGCTGGCCTGCTGGCTGGTCGCCTGACACATTCCATGTGGTTCCCTTCCTGTGCTGCCTTCCTTGGAGTGGCTGGAGGCAGGGCTGGGTGAACGGTGGTGCCTGTGAAGCGGTGGCCCCAGCTCTCCACCCACGGTGTCTCCAGTATTTGCATTCCAATCACCAGTACCCATCAGCTCCTGGGTGTTGCATGCTGGATTCATTTTGGGCCTCAGGAGCTACAGATAACCTCTTGTCTCCTCATCTTTGGCACCAACAGCTGGTGTATGACCTTGACTCCAAGGTGTGGTGGTGGACTCCTGTGGACACGATGTCCGGTCACTGACAGCTTGAGTGCTGGGCAGTCGACATCGTGTGACGGAGACCCCATTCCTGCTGTGGTCACTCCTGGCACAGCTGACCACGTGAGTGAGTGCCCAGGCCCAAGTGGCCCCTGCCCGCCCCTCAGCTCAGCTCCACTGCCCCTGTCCCTGCTGCTGTGTGCTCAGTGGACTGTGTTTTCACACCAGCCGGGGCATGTGCAGGCTGCCACAGCCCAGAGCCCGGGACCAGCGTGAAAGTGAGGCTGGGAGGAAGTGAGGCTGGCAGGCGTGCCCTCTAAGGTGGTCCAGGCCCTGAAGCTCTGGTCCAGCCTCTGCCAACCCCTACCCCACTGCTGTGAGGGAGCCGGAGGGCTCCCATCTGTGCAGGGGGGAGACAGCAGCCTCCGAGGCACAAAGCTGCTGCCTGTGGGCGCAGGGGCCTGGCACCCCGCTGTTGGCAGGGACTCCCCTCCTGGACCTCAGCTGGCTGCCCTCCTGAGGGAGATCTCAGGAGCAAACCAACAGGCAGAAAAGCCCCAGCTGTCAGCCCTTGACCTGTTTTAGTCTTCAAAATGAAAATCTATTACAGGCAGGGGCATATATGTGTTTGCAAATATGTTGCATGTTTGTAGTGTTTGCAAAACAAGAAGCAAACATAATATTTTTAACGACTCACCTTACTTTGCAAATAGATCACCTGATATGTTTAAGTATACATTCTGAGGTAGAAATACACCTTTTTAAAATGCTGTGAGCTACTAAATGCATCATTTGTTAGCTACGAATACTTCTGCAGCAGTTGTACGTGCAGGCATCATTTCAAGAGAGGATTCTGCCATTGCTGGGTTGGGACTGAGGTGGGGAGGGGCCTGGCCTCATTTGTCTTGAGTTGATTATTTAGAATGAGGGTGATTCTCAAGTTACTGCAGAATTAAAAAATAGTGGAAGGCTCGAAGCCCCTCGTGGATTTAGGGGGAATCCCTTGGGGAGAGGGCCTGGGGCTGTGGATGTAGGTGAGGAGGGGTTGGTTGTGGGAGTTTAGGGATGTATGTGATGAGCTGGGAGCTGCATGTGTGTGCTGGGGACCGGGTGTCTGTCTGCGGGGTCAGCGATGTCTGGGGTGGTGAGATGACTTTATTGTGGGGGACTCTGGGATTCATGCATGGGGGCTGCAGGGTGGGGAGGGTTGGAGAAGCACGTGGTTGTGATGTGAGGTCTGTGTGTATACAGTGTGTGTGTTATGATGTGTGGACGCCATAAGTTGTGTGTATATAGAAGGAGTGTGTGTATGTAGGGTGTGCATATGTGGTGTGTGCATGTGGTGAGATGTGTGTGTATATGGTGGGGCACGTTGTAGTCTCTGCGTGCATATGTGACGTGGATGCTGTAAGCGGTGTGTGTGTATGAGGTCTGTGGACATGGTACGTGTGGGTGTGGTCTCGTGTGCATGTGTGACGTGTGGATGCTGTAGCAGTGTGTGTGTACGTGTGTATGTGAGGTGTGAGATGTGTGAGGTGGGATCCATGTGATTTTCTCTCCTCTGACCCTCGTCTCTGTCTCTGTGTCTCTCTCTCTCTCTCTCTCTGTGTATCTCTCGTTCCTCTTTCTCTCTCTGTTTCTCTGTGTGTCCCTGTCTCTTTTGTGTCTCTGTGTGTGTGTGTCTCCCCGGTCCTCCCTCCCTCTGTCTCTGTGGGGGTGCTTATGTCTCCCCATTGCTCCCCCCCTCTTTCTGTCTCTCTCCTCTGTGTGTTTCTCCATTCCACTCTCCCTCTCTGTCTCTCTGTCTCCCTCTGTGTGTGTCTCTCCATTCGTCCCTCCCTCTGTCTCTCTGTGTGTCCCTGTCTCCTGTGTCTCTCTGTGTGTATCTCCCTGTTCCCCACCCCCCCGTGTGTGTCCCTCCGTTCCACCCTCCCTCCCTCTTTATTTGTCTGTGTGTCCCTGTCTCCTCTGTGTGTGTGGTTCCACATTCCTCCCTCCCTCTCTGTCTCTGTGTGTGTATCTCTTCATCATCTGTCTCCCCACCCCATGGCCAAGCAGAGAAATACTCAGTGGTGAACACTCCGGTGCGGATGGCCGGAGGCTCCCCCATGATGAAGGCAGGTGGGTGCCCCTAGGCTTGGCTGGCTCGCTTCACTTGCCATCTCCTCTGCACTCGGCTGGTGTGTGGCCCTGCCCGATGCAGCCCAGGGGCTGTAGAGATGGGGTGGCCACTGGACCAGAGGCCTTGCTCTGGGCCTGGGGAGGGGCCTGTGCTTCGGCACCTCTGCCTCACGTAGAAGGGACCGCATGACGGCTCTGACCTCACTCCCTGCAGCTTTGCTTTCTGCACTCGGGCTGGGGGGACACGCTCAATCTGCGTCCACACACTGGAACCTGTGCCCACAAGCCTGAACTCGCGTCCACTTGCCCTCGCGTGCAGCCTGCCATGCCCACTGTGACTGAGGTTCTAGAAGGCCGTGGCTCAGCTGAGCACCCTATGGGAGAAGGCTGGGGCCCAGTCCCCATAGGGACATATCTCCTCACTGACCTGTGTGGAGGGGGGACCTCACACCCAGACCTGGTGTCAGATAGTGGCCTGATACTGACAAAGACAAAAACGACAGCAATTATACTGTTTCAGGTGACTCAGGGAATCAGAAACCCTGGAGAACCTGGGAGGCCATCTGAGGGGCTGAGCTAGGAGGGTCTGGGAGGACAGTCCCAGGGGACGGGGAGGGCAGCAGGGGGGGACAGTCCCAGGGGACAGGGAGGGCAGCAGGGGGGACAGTCCCAGGGGATGAGGAGGCCAGCAGAGGCGACAGTCCCAGGGGACGGGGAGGGCAGCAGGTGGCCTGGTGCTGCCTGTGTCACCCAGGTGGAGGTCTGCCCTGCAGGAAGGGAGCTGGCCCAGCTCTGGCCAGGAAGGCTGGGTGGGCACACAGGTGGAAGTAGAATTCACTTTGCAAGTACCTGTTGAATACCAGCTGTGTGTATGGGGCCCACATCCTGGGGTGGGGAGCTTGGAAGACAGTCCTTTGGGGGACAGATGACAGTGGGAAAGGTGGGCAGTGGGCCAGAGGCTTCACTAGAAGGTGGTATGTGATCAAAGTCGGGAGAGGAGAGGGAGGCATGCACACATCTGAACAAAGTGGTACAAGCATGACAGCAGCCTGTGCAAAGGCCCTGTGGCAGTCTGGGCCTGGTAGGTGAGGGGAGGGAGAAGGAGAGTGCAGGTATGAGCGTGTAGGGTGTGCACACCTTGTGGGAGGGACATGGGAGCCCTAGATGACGTGAGCAGAGCAGGGACACACGGTGGGTGTGAGGCAGGACAGGCCCTGGGTGTGGGTGAGCAGGGTGTGGGGTTGGGCTGGCTGATCACGTGCCCTCTGTTGGCCATGGGAAGGATGTGCCTACCTATAGCGTTTTGGGGGAAGGGGCCCCCACTAGTCCAATGGAGCAGATAATGTGGATGGCTGAAGTAGATCCTGGTGTCTGAACACAAAGCCCTCAGGTTTGGCTGACGGGCAAGATGAGGGAGTGGGACTGCCCCTGATCAGTGTAGGATGAGGGAGGGGTATGTGGAGCAGGGTCCTTGATGTGGTGAGCAGAGGTGCCCAGAGACCCCCGGGGACAGCATGGAGGGGGTTGTGGGGCCTGAGCCTGGAGCCCAGTGAAGGGCAGGTGGAGGGCACCCCCAGTGACCCAAGCAGGAACATGACCTCAGGTCAGAGAAGGTGAGGAGAGCCAGTGCCCTGGGTCCTGGGGACTGCGGAAGATGAGGGTCTCTAGACCCTCAGCGGCTGAAAAACCAAATCCAACTCCAGCCTCACACTCAGTACCAGGGGCTTGTTGCAGGCAGAGCGACTGAGCCCGCTTGGCCTCATACCTCTTTGCTGATGGCTTTGTAACCAGAGTTGGGGAGATGGCATCGTAAAGGAGTGTGGACTTCTTCCTGCTGTGGTGGGCAGCTCTGGACTAGACCGAAGTGGTGGCCTGCGGCAGCAGAGGGGCCAGGAGAGAGTGTCCAGTCGGGTCCTGGTGTGACCATGGACCGGTCACACACCCTTGGACTTACACTCCTGTGCAGACCAATGGGAGTAGAGCCCCGCTTTCCAAGATAAAATGGTTTGTTGACTGAGGGAGGGACAGATTTTGGAGGACAGAGGACTCAGGGACTGTCCCCCTGGCCCTGGAGAGCTGTGGAAGGATGAGGATGGAGGGAGGGCCATGTCCAGGTGCTCCAACATCGCATTGTGGCTTGGCCTGTGTCCTGCTGGCTTTCCTTCCTGGCTTTGCCCCTGTGGTGTGGCGGGCATGGGTGGGTCATTGCGGTGACATGACACTGTCCTTTCATGCCAGCCATGTACTCGGTCGAGATCACAGTGGAAAAGGACAAGGTGACAGGGCAGACCCGAGTGCTGTCCAGTACCACCCTGCTCCCTCAGGACCCCCTCCCCCAGGGCATCAAGGTCTACGAGGACGAGACCAAAGGTATGAGCAAGCTGTGCCGCAGGTGAAACCGGGACCCCTTGTCCACAGTGCCAGGGACACGTGTGTGGCTAGCACACGTGTTGAGGTCATAGGGGGGGGCTAGGACACGTGTGAGGTCACCAGGTGAGGGGGGCTAGGACACGTGAGGTCACGGGGAGGATAGGACACGTGTGAGGTCACAGGGGGAACTAGGACACGTGTGAGGTCACCAGGTGAGGGGGGCTAGGACATGTGTGAGGTCACGGGGGTGGGGCTAGGACACGTGTGAGGTCATGGGGAGGCTAGGATAAGTGTGAGGTCACCAGGTGGGGGGATGTGTGAGGGACCAGGACATGTGTGAGGTCACTTGATGGGGGACATGTGAGCGTGCAGGACAAGCATGTAGTTATCAGGTGGGAGTACATGTGAGGGGCCAGGACACGTGTGTCATTGATGGGGAGGGGTGTGGGGCTGGGACATGAGTGTGACTCCCAAGTGGAGAAGAGGTGCCAAGGATACATGTGTGCCATTTTTGTGTGGCAGGGCATGTCCAGGCACACGTGTCCCTCCCTGCATGGAGGGGGCGGTGTGCCCACTTTCTGCTCTAAAACGCCTTTATTGGATTGTGCACTGTTGGGACCCTGATTTGATCATGTGGCCACTCTTCAAAGCTGAGTGGGTCTCATCACCCTGAACCCTCTCTTGGGCATGACTTGACCATGTCCAGTGCTGGGCTGGGCTCTGGTTGTTCAGTCCTTTGGGGTACCCTGCCAGCGAGCCCAGCCCTTGACAGAAGAACCAATGCGTTTGAGCTGTGGTGTTGGAGACATGTACTGAGTATCTGGACTAAGAGAACAGCAAGCCTGTTTTGGAGGAACGGCCATCAGGGTGCTCCGTCAAGGTAGAAACTGGCTCTTAAATACTTGGGGGTATTGTCAGGAAGGACCCGTCCTTGTAAAGGTGGAGGGTGAGAGAAAGAAGACCCCGAACAAGATGACCGACACAGTGAGTTAACAGTGGGTAACTGAGGATGGTGTGGAATAGGGCACAGGCAAGGTTCCAGTGTGTGCTTTATGGAGTGCCTGTGAGTTGTG